ATCAGAACAAAATCTTCCTTCGTTACCAAGGAAACTGATGCAGTTCCGTTAGCTTAATGGCAAATATCGTGACAGTGACAATTTTAGTATGACACGTGGGTTCTGAGGCCCAGCCAATATTTCAACCAATATTGGTTTTAACAATGTCCCAGTAAAATAGGGAGCTCAGGTAGCTTCTGAGTGGCCATTCTATGTACAATTCATATTTTTGTCTAAGTCTCAGGAGAATTGAGGGGCTGTATTCACCCAGTATCTCTCCGTAATAAAGGGCAAATGTATACTTTTGGTTCTTCTCTTATATAAGTGAATTCAACTCCAATATTTACAAGAAAGAGAACATTAAAACCACTTGTACTTCACTGTACACATTCAAGTAGACTAATGAGAAGTGACTTTTCTTCCGAGAGGGCCTTCCTGTCAATCCAGCCCTTGGGAAATAGCATCCTGACTCTTCAGGTTAAGAACACACATGAGTTGAGATAAAATATGACCATTCTGTGAATGACTGATCTCTCCCATGCCCTCTTGGATAAATCCATTTCTTTCTCCTTTAATTTTGGACCAGGAGAAGAAGTACCGCTTCCAAAACCAGGTAGACAAGATGAAGGAAAAGGTCAAAAACGTGGAGGAAAAATCAAAGGAATTTGTAAACAGAGTGGAAGAAAAGAGTCATGATCTAATTCAAAAGTGGGAAGAGAAATCGAGGGAATTCATTGGCAACTTCCTAGAACTGTTTGGGCCTGATGGAGCATGGGTATGTAATTATTTCACTTGGCCCTGCAGTAATGGGTGTTTTCAGTTTATCCTCCTTTCCAAGGAACTACTCAAGGGTTCCCTTATCTCCGTCCAATATGTGGCCTCCACTTTGGGCATGAGTCCGAATGACTTTAAGTCTACGTCACTTCCTTAGTTTCTGCATTTCCTCTCAGTATGGCATCCAGTAGTGCCCAAAGCCAGCTCTGGTCTCTATTTCTATTTCTTATCCAGAGTTTGAAGCCACTTGGTAGTCATTGAATGTCTGTTACCGCAGAGGTTGGTTCCGTAGCTCATCCCAGTCTCCCGGTTGGATGGTAAGGGTGAAGTGGGTCAGTGGCATCATGGAACTTGACCCACTTGTAAGTGGGTCAGTGGTATCATGGAACTGATGCCTCTTGGATCAACCAGAGGAGGAGGATGCAAAAGAAATGCAGCTGCCTTGATCGCCTTTGGTTGTCAGGAACTCCTCTCTCATTGGTTGGAAGAGAGAAAGAAGAGGTAGGACTGTCTCTGTATTATCATGCCCTGATTTGCCCCCTTTGTTTCCCCATGGTGTGTATGTGCTGGGATAGGCATAAAGGTGTTGAGGGACCGCGGCCATGATCTGAATCTTAAAACTAAGACAGAAAATGGAGACAGGGTCTCTTGCCTAAATTCTATATGGAATTCTGAGTGAAAATTATGGAAAGGGAAAAGAAAATTCTGGAAACCGCCTTCTACTCCAGTGGTATTTCTATTGTGCATGCACTTCCAGAGTAAATAACCAGTATTATCAGCAGAGTTAATGAGGGTTCTATGAAAAAGATAGTTTCTTAAAATTGAAGTATAGTTGATTTACAATGCCATGTTAATTACTGCTGTACAGCAAAGGGATTCAGTTGTACATATATATACATTTATTTTTAATATTCTTTTCCATTATGGTTTGTCATAGGATACTGAATAGAGTTCTCTGTGCTATACAACAGAACCTTGTTGTTTATCCATTCTATATATAAAAGCCTACATCTGCTAACCCCAACCTCCCACTGCATCCCTCCCCCAACACCCCCCGCCTTGGTAACCACCAGTCTGTTCTCTGTGTCTGTAATTCTGTTTCTGTTTCACAGATAGGTTCATCTGTGTCATATTTTAGATTCCACATATAAGTGATGTCATATGGTATTTGTCTTTCTGATTTACTTCACTTAGTATGATAATTTCTAGTTGCATCCATGTTGCTGCAAATGGCATTGTTTTGTTCTTTTTGTGGCTGCGTAGTATTCCACTGTATACATATACCACATCATCTTTATCCATTCATCTGTCAATGGACATTGATTTCCATGGCTTGGCTATTGTGAATAGTGCTGCTATGAACATTGGGGTGCATGTATCTTTTTGAATTAGAGGAGTTTTGTCTGGGTATATGCCCAGGAGTGGGATTGCTGGGTCATATGGTAACTCTATTGTTAGTTTTCTGAGGAACCTCCATACTGTTTTCCACAGTGGCTGCACCAACTTACATTCCCACCAATAGTGTAGGAGGGTTCCTTTTTCTCCACACCCTCTCCAGCATTTGTTATTTATGGACTTTTTAATGATGGCCATTCTGACTGGTGTGAGGTGCTACCTCATTGTAGCTTTGATTTGCATTTCTCTGATAATTAGCGATGTTGAGCATCTTTTCATGTGCCTCTTGGTCATCTGTATGTCTTTTTTGGAGAAATGTCTACTTCGGTCTTCTGCCCATTTATGGATTGGATTGTTTGTTTTTTGTTATTGAGTTGTATGAGCTGTTCGTATATTTTGGAAATTAAGCCCTTGTTGGTCACATTGTTTGCAAACATTTTCTCCCATTTTGTAGGTTGTCTTTTCATTTTGTTTACGGTTTCGTTTGCTGTGTAAAAGCTCACAAGTTTAATTAGGTCTCGTTTGTTTTCGTTTTTATTTCTATTGCCTTGGCAGACTGACCTAAGAAAACACTGGTACAATTTATGTCAGAGAATGTTTTGCCTATGATCTCTTCTAGGAGTTTTATGGTGTCATGTCTTATGTTTAAGTCTTTAAGCCATTTTGAGTTTATTTTTGTGTATGGTGAGAGGGTGTGTTCTAATTTCATTGATTTACATGTGCTGTCCAACTTCCCAACACCACTGGCTGAAGAGACTGTCTTTTCTCCATTGTATATTCTTGCCTCCTTTGTCGAAGATCAATTGACTGTACGTGTGTGGGTTTATTTCTGGACTCTCTGTTGTGTTCCATTGATCCATAGGTCTTTTTTTGTGCCAGTACCACTCTGTTTTGATTACTGTAGCCTTTGTCGTATTGTCTGAAGTCTGGGAGGGTGATGCCTCCTGCTTGGTTCTTTTTCTTCAGGATTGCTTTGGACATTCTAGGTCTTTTATGGTTCCACATAAATTTTAGGATTGTTTTAGTCCTGTGAAAAATGTCATGGGTAAGTCGATGGGGATCACATTAAATCTGTAGATTGCTTTGGGTAGTATGGCCGTTTTAACAAGATTAATTTTTCCAATCCAAGGGCATGGGATATCTGGAAAGTGATAGTTCTAAAGCTAACTAACTTTCCTTTTACAACAAAAAGGAAGGATTCCATTTGATTTTCCTGATTTTAAGTAGCCTAGATTTCCTATTATGACGTGAGAAGTCTCTAACAAAATTCACTTTGGCTTTATTTTATTGATGGTTTGTCACTGCTGAGTCTCTGCTCATTTGAGCTGGTTCATTATAGGATTATCTAAAACACTCCAATAGAAAAAAGAACAATGTTTGAGAAGTTACAAGAGATGCCTTGCTTAAAGCCTAGCAGTCTCTAAGTGATTACAGAGGCAGCTGTCATAGGCCAACCATGTCTTGTTGGCCGAGTCTGAGAGGGGTGGAGGGTTTGCAAGGGGCTGCTTGAGCCCTTGATGACTTCTAGAAGGAGCTTGTAAGAGTGGGGGAGCTAAGGGTTGGGTTCCTTTTCGTTTTCCCTGGGTTTCAGCTCAGTTCACTTTAATTCATGGGACACTGATTAATGTCCTTGTATGTGCATGGTACTAGGGAAGGACATGAAGGTAAAGCGCAGACCCTGTTCTCTGGGATTCCGTGGTCTCTGTAACAAGTCTGGAATTTCTCATTAAAATAGTTAACGTTTTTCACAACTAATTTTCAGGCTCTGAGGAAACAACTAGTGGTTTTTAAAAAATGAAACCATGTAGGCATTCATTTGCTTGCAGGGATTCAGAAATGTGTCTCTGCTGAGAAGCGCTGGTATTGTACCTCAAGCGGGAGGATGTTTCCTCCACCTGCCGTGAGCAAAGGTGGGAAAGGATATCATTTACATAGCAACTTGACAGACTCTAGTTGTTTCGGGCTCCCAGTGAAGGTGGAATAGTAGCTGGAATTGTACTAGGGGAATTTGGTGACAGTGAGCTGAGGTGATTTTTAAGAAATGAAACCCAGCTAAGATACTGGAGGCTTTTCTTTTTAAAACTTGCTATTAGTGTCAAAACTGTTATTCATATTAATTTACCATATCAGCCAGCCTCAGATGTTACTTTTGTTCTGTTGACATTAAAAGTACAGGAATAGTTACAAGGATGTTAAATGCCAAGTTAAGTAATTTGCTTTCCATGAATATGCTATTATTATAATAATTCTTTATTTGTGGATTTGGGACTGGAACTCATTTCTTAAAATAGAGAATCTGTGTTAACCTGCCAATATAGTACTGATACAAATAACCCAGACTTGGAAAGGTACAAAATACAAGGATTTAAGGTAAAAAATTTGGTACAACAGGTTCAGCATGTAGCTTACAGTGGGTACTCCATAAATGTTTCTAGATTGAACGAACAGATGCGTGATGAAGACCTATTCACAGAACTTTCCAGCACCTGCGAAGGATATGGTGAGGCCTAAATCCTCCATGTCTACATGGATCTATATATCGATGCTCTCTACAGATATGCGTACTGCTACTGCTAGATCAACACATACCCTTAGCCTTCTGTTGTTTATGGTGCTGGACAGGGCTTGCTTACAACTTAGCATTTGGGGGCTCGATTTCAGTAGGCAGACTTGGTTTGCTTGGCCCTTAACAATGTTGAAACCTTTCTCATAGGGAGGGCACAAACTCTCCAGTTGACTGTGTCTATAACATTCCCCACTCTTCCTTGCTGCCACCTTCTCTAACCTTACACCTTTATGCTGCCCACCTGGCCTCAGGGAATATTTGTGTTTGCACCTTGTGGTATAGTGTCTGTTTGGAATCAAGAACGAGGATATAAAACCCAAAACCTTACAGTCCATCTCTAAGAGGAGGGTGGTGGTGATGTTACTGTCTAGAAGTTGTATGGTAGGTTCAACTCCTTTTTACATAGTCCTTTTATGTCTACTCTACCCATTTTAATCACATAAGAGGGTAGTATTATAGCAGTGTTATAAAGAAACAAAGGTCTAGAAAAATTATGAACCTTTCCAATGGTCTCATAGGAGTTTGGAGGTACCAGGATGGACCCTGGGGCCAAGCCTCTTTATCCAGGCCAGCACTGGATCCTTCATGATGGAAATGTCCATGGGATGCAGTCACTTTGCTTCACTCTCCTTTGGCTAGCGTGTGGCACTGTGGAGAAACTAGGGTCTATCAAAACCCTCCCTTTAAGGCTTTTTAAGGCTTTTGTGACAAAGCCAGTTGCCAAAAGGGCACATGAGGTGAGGTCATCTAGATTCAGGACTTCCTTCCTAAGCAAGAAGAAATCATGGTGTTCATGGCTGTACTCATTATTAGAGTGTAACACATTACCCCAAAACTTAGTGACTTAAAAACAAACATTATCTCACATAGTTTCTGAAGGTCAGGAAGCAACTTAGCCGGATGGTTATGACTTGGGGTCTTGTTATGAAGTTGGCCGTCAGGATGTCAGCTGGAGCTGCAGTCACTGGAGGCTGGAGGATCCTCTTCCACACTCTGATGTCACTGTCGACTGGATACCTCAGTTCTTCACTATGTGGGTCTTTCCACAAGGCTGCCCCAAGTGTCTTCACGACATAGCAGCTGGCTTTCTCCAGAGGGAGTGAGAGTCTAAGGAAAAAAAGCTATAGTCTTTTATGATCTAACCTCAGAAGTGACAAAGCATCACTTTTACCATCTTCTATTGGTTACACAGACTAATCCTTGTGTATTTGGGAAGGACACTACACAAGGATGTGAATACCAGCGGGTGGGGCCATTGCTTTTGAGAATTGGAAGCAAGCCATCTACTTTCCAGCTGCTGTAATAGCTTCTCAGTCCCCTTTTACTCAGTCTGATGGGTGGAATGTCAGAGACCAATATGTTAATTTTCAACCTTATCATCTACCACTCTATGTAGTTAACTGTTTGCTTGATTCTTGTTACTAGTTTTGACCCATACTCAGAAGAGAGCCTGTAACCCAACCAGAGATGCAAAGGGAAGCCTTCCCAGCGGAGACTTGGCATTACCTCTCTTTGGAGGATGTGTCTCTGACACACAGACGGTCTCAAGGGAAGGGTTGTAAAGGAGCTACATTTTGAAGCTTTGTTGCTATGTAGGAGGCAACCCTGTTCATGTCCAAGATATTGAGAGGCAAGAAGTCAGGACCAGGACCAGGGGATGCCGACTTCCTAGTGAAACTTCATGTTTGCTCTGGGAATTCAAGCATTTCAAACGAAGATAGCGTTCTCTTTAAACATCAGTACCCCAGCCACATATGCTGTCCTTTAAAATATTACCTATCATTTTGAATGATCTGCCATTCCTCCATTGACTCTGAAAATAGAATCATCTCCTGTTTGAAGGGAGAATGGCTCTATTCTGTTTTACCATGTGAACATAGACCCCTTCCCTGGAGTAACAGGAGAGAAGGACCTTAAGTCAGGTGCAAGTTTTCGGTTCTTCCTGGACCACGAACCCCCTCAGCCTCACCCAGTCAGCCTGGTGGATCTGTAATTTGCCATCTGATATGAGATTACTTAAAGAAAAAAAAAAAACACCTTGATGGTGTGTTCTTTTTTCTTAGAAAAACCAGATTTACATGATATAAGGTCCAATGCTAATTTTTTCAAACAGCACTAAGAACACAATTCACCATTTTAACCGTTTTTAAGTGTACGGTTCAGTGGTATGAAATACATTTACACTGATTTCCAACCACCACCACCACCATCCATTTCCAGAACTTTGTTTTTATCATCCCATATTAAAACTATGTACCCATTAAATAGTAAATTCACATTTCCCCACTCCCCCCAACCAGTCCTCGGGCACCACCCCTTTTACTTTCTATCTATCTCTATCAATTTGACTATTCTAGGTACCTCATAAGTAGAATCATACAGTATTTGTTCTTTGTTGTACGGCTTCTTTCACTTACTATAAGGTCTTCAAGGTTCAACTGATATTATAACATATATCAGGATTTCATTCCTTTTCAAAGCTGAATAATCTCCCATTGTGAAAGACTTTATTTTTATGTAAAAGAGGCTTATTTACTTATGTTAAAGCATCGGGGCTTCCTTGGTGGTGCAGTGGTTAAGAATCTGCCTGCCCAGGCAGGGGACAAGGGTCCAAGCCCTGGTCCAGGAAGATCCCACGTGCAGTGGAACAAATAAGCCCGTGTGCTGCAACTACTGAGCCTGCACGCCACAGCCACTGAGCCCGCGATCCACAACTACTGAAGCCCGCATGCCTAGGGCCAGTGCTCTGCAACGAGAGAAGCCACCGCGATGAGAAGCCCGCGCACCGCAACAAAGAGTAGCCCTCGCTCACTGCAACTAAAAGCTCCTGCTCAGCAAAGACCCAACGCAGCCAAAAATAAATTAAAAAACAAACAAGCATCGGCCTGAGGGGCAGGTATATAATTTAACATACTTTTTAGGGGCCTGCTGGTTACTCTCCAGGGACGGAGGCTGGTGGGTACCATCTTTGTGTTCTCCCTCTGCCTCATTTCAGCTTGCTTTGCTCATAACTTCCAGAAAGGAGCCTGTACCCTCCTTTGGCAGCCTGATTTTTCTGGCCGCCACCCGCAAGATACCACTCGATCACCTGGACCTGGTGGCCAGTGGGGCTTATGCTCAGGAATCCCACAGGACTGTAACCAATGGAGAAGACTTCTCGTCCAGGTACCATGCACAGGACACAGCAAGAGGCAACAGACCCAGGAGCCCAGTCTTTCTGTGAAAGTGGCCTATTTGCTTGTCCTGGAGCTATGGCCTGAGGGACAGATTTTAATGGTTTGGCACACATCTAGGGACCTACTGAAGTGTACTCCAAAAACAGAGGCCAGTAGATGCCATCTCTGCTCTCCTTCTGCCTCACACCAGGTCACCAACAGCTACCAGTAAGAGACAATAACTGAACTGAAGAATACACTAGAGGGATTCAATAGCAGACTAGATGAAGCTCAGTGAACGTGAAGACAGGGCTGTGAAACTCACCCCAATCAGAGCAGCAAAAAGAAAAAAGAATGAAAAAAAGTAAAAATTGCTTAAGGAGCTTATGGGACAATATCAAGCCAACCAAAATTCATATTATAGCGGTCCCAGAAGGAGAAGCAAGAGAGAAAGGGGCAGAAAACTTACTTGAAGACATAATGGCTGAAAACTTCCCTAACCTTGGGAAGAAAACAGAGACCCAGATCCAGGAAGCAAAGGGAGTTCCAAATAAGATGAACTGAAAGACACATTATAAAGGAGAGAATCTTAAAAGCAGCAAGAGAAGAACAACTTGTCATGTATAAGGGAACCCCCATAAAACTATCAGCACATTTTCAGCAGAAACTTTACAGGCCAGAAGGAAGTGGCATGATATAGTCAAAGTGCTGAAAGAAAAAACCCACAACCAAGAATACCCTACTGGGTGCAGGCTGTCACTCAGAATTGAAGGAGACAAGAAAAGGCTAAAGGAGCTCATCACCACGAAACCAGCCTTAGGAGAAATGTTAGAGGGACGTCTTTAAGCTGAAAAGAAAGGGTGCTCCTTATTAATAGGAAAACATATGAAAGTATAAAGCTCACTGGTAAATATAAATATGTAGCAAAATTAAGAATAATCTAATGTTATAAAGGTGATGGATTAATCACTTATAAAGCTAGTGTGAAGGTTAAGACCTTCACACTAGCTTTATAAGTGAGTAAAAATAACTATAACTACAATAATTAAGGGATACAAGAGATTAAAAGATGTAAAAGGTGACATCGAAGGTGTCAGACATCTGGCAGAGGTTAGGAGGGAGAGTAAAAAGGTAGAGCTTTAGAATGTGCTCGAACTTAAGTTTTTATCAACTTGAAACAGACTGTTATATACATTTTTTATGTGTAAGCCTCATGGTAACTACAAAGTAAAAACCTATAGTAGATACCAAAAGATAAAGGAATCTAAGCACACACTAAAGAACGTCATCAAATCACAAAGGAAGAGAGCAGAAAGGAACAGAGGAACTAGAAAACAGCCAGAAAACAATTAACAAAATGGCAATATTTACATACCTATCAATAATTACTTTAAATGAAAATGATTTAAATTTTCCAGTTAAAAGAGTGTCTGACACATCTACATGGTGCCTACAAGACACTCACTTCAGATGTAAGGACACAGACTTAAGGGAAGGGTTGGAAAAAAATATTCCATGCAAATGGAAACCGAAAGAAAGCTGGGGTAACTAAGACAAAATAGACTTTACAACAAAGACAGGAGCACCAAAATGTATTAACAGACCTAAAAAAGGAAAGACAACAATACAGTAATAGTAGGGGGATTTAAAACACTACTTTCATCAATGGATAGAGCATCCAGTCAGTACAGAAATTCAGCTGTAAATGACATATCAGATGGAGTTGATACATACAGCACAGGCCATCCAAAAGCAATGGAATATATCAATACATTCTTCTCAAGTGCACATGAAATATTATCCAGGAGAGATCATATGTTAGGCCACAAAAGAAGTCTTAACACACTGAAAAAGACTGAAATCATATCAAGCACTTTTCTTTTCTTTTTTTTTTTTTTTTTTTTTTTTTTTTTTTTTTTTTTTTTTTTTTGCAGTACGTGGGCCTCTCACTGCTGTGGCCTCTCCTGCCGCGGAGCACAGGCTCCAGACGCACAGGTCCAGCGGCCATGGCCCACGTGCCCAGCCGCTCTGCAGCATGCGGGATCCTCCCGGACCAGGGCATGAACCCGTGTCCCCTGCATCGGCAGGCGGACTCCCAACCACTGCGCCACCAGGGAAGCCCTCAAGCACTTTTCTAACTACAATGGTATGAAGCCAGAAATCGATTACGAGAAGAAAACTGGAAAATTCACAAATATGTGGAAATTAAACAGCATGCTACTGAACAACCAATGAGTCAAAGAAGATATCAAAAGAGAAGTCAAAAAATACCTTGAGACAAATAAAAATGGAAATACAACACACCCAAATTTATGGGATGCAGCAAAAGCAGTTCTAAGAGGGAAGTGTGTATCAATAAATGCCAACATCAAGAAACAACAAAAAAATCCTCAAACAATGTAACTTTACATGCGAAGAACTAGGAAAAGAATAATACAGGAAGCCCAAAGGAAGGAAATAAAGACCAGAACAGAAATAAATGAAATACAGACTAAAAAGACAGTAGTTAAGATCAACAAAACTAAGAGCTGGTTCTTTGAAAACAAAATTGACAAACCTTAAGCTAGACTCATCAAGAAAAGAAAGAGGACTCACAACAACAAAATTACAACTCACAAAGGAGACATTACAACTGACACCACAGAAATACAAAGGATAAGAGACTACTATTAACAATTATACACCAACAAATTTGACAACCTAGACGAAATGGATAAATTCCTAGAAACATACAGCCTACTGAGACTGAATTGTGAAGAAATGGAAAATCCAAACAGACAGATTACTAGTAAGGAGATTGAATTAGTCAACCAAAAACCTCCTTGGGATTAATATATACACACTACTATATATAAAATAGATAACCAACAAGGACCTACTGTATAGCACAGGAAACTACACAACACAATATTTTATAATCACCTATAAGGGAAAAGAATCTGAAAAAGAATG